TTGTTCAAAGGCAGCACAGTGCAATGGGGTTAGTGAGTAGCACAGAAGCTCCAAAGTTCCCTGGATCCATTGAATTCATTTCTGGGATGAAAGCTCTGAGGGACCCCACAACTCTACCAGTTCACACGGTTACAATCCCTTGCTTACTTTAAACTTCCTTTTCATTGAGGGGCTCTGCAATGTGAGGGTTCAGTTTGCAAGCTCAAGTTTCCTGAAACCCCTTTACTTCCTCAAATCCCTCCTGTCTGAGGGGGGAAATATAAAGGAAATGCTGGGAAGTGAGCCCCAGAGCATTTCCATTACTCTGAAATTTTCCTGCAGGAGCATTACTGTCTGTTTGTACGTAAGCACTTTGTGTAGCATATGTTGCTATTTAGTATTTATACAACGGGCCTTGTACTGAACCTCCAGATTCCTAAGGCATCTGTCTATCTCTATGGGACGGAGGTTGGAATTGGGGTGGCAGTAATTCTGTCAGGCAAACCAGCTGGAGCATATTAGAGAAGTGGTATACATGGACTGTGATCTCTCTTTGGGGACTTACCTTTGGGTTCCTACTTTCCTATTTTCCTCAACCTAAAATTAAAACATAACACACAAAGATCAGCCATATACTCTCAGTGATTTTTGTGTGTAATAAGTGCTTGAGCTTGGCCTTGAGTATCAAGACAGAGAGAGCACCCCAGATAAAGGGGAAAAAATACCTTGCTACATCAGCATAAATTTATAGTAACTTAATTGAAGCTCGTTGGTGCAATGACAGCAGAATTTCCCCTGCTATCTTGTTCTTTGTTTTTCTTTATAAAACAGAAGGGGGGGAATAAAAAGTGTAACACAAGAGTCAACCAGAATCCAAGGATAATAGTTTCACCCTCACACTCATGTATCGTTTTGCCTCATCTATGAAAATAGTTGCAACTGCGTAGCTTCTCTCCTCCCTCCCTCTGCATGGTTCCAGCATGACTAGACATAAACTACAAGCCATCAGACAGTATTATTAATTACCTCTTCCTTAACATCAGTGCTGATCATGCTCCCCTTATTCCACTGTGATATGGGCCCTTTTGGTAATACAGCAAGCCACCACTCCTTGTATGAGGGCTCTGTTAATTATTTCTGAAAACACATGCAATCTCTCACCCTGTAAGCCCAGGCAAACAGCCTCATTTCCCTTATAAGCACAGACATTGCTGTTTCTCAGAGCAGCTTCTTTCTGGTCAGTCTCCTTAGTTCTGCAGTCTATTTAAAAGAGACTGAAGTGCTTTTATTCTTCCTTCTGGGGATTTTTTCCACTTCATTTTTGTACAGCCTTTATTTTTTTGTGACTGGATATTCAATTTTAGTCCAGCTGGCAGCTTGCTTTTTTCTGTGGCTTGGGGGACTTTGCACCATGGTGCTTAATGGAGTAAAGCATCCAGTAGAATTGAGGCTACAGATAGCTATATGTTCCACAGAGGACGCTCGTACCAATTGCAACACTGTCAAATAGTTTTATGGGATGTTCCATCACTGTAAGCAGCAAATCAGAGATTTCTCTATTGACTGGGAAAGCAAAATACAGACCTATGCCAACTGGCTCTTTCTGAGCAGTAACATTAACTGGATATAGTTTTGACAGTCTTTCTTCATTTCCCAGGTCCATATCTCATTGGATGTGTGGAATGTGGGCAGTTATGGAGTCTATGTTCAGTACAGTTTAGAGGATGTGTGCTTACTACTCTTCTCTGGCCACATTTGGTGACATTTTTATTATAATTCAGAGATTGATCTGAAACAGCATATGAGATATGAATAATCCCACACCTTGGGCAAAATAAATTCTTGGCTGAAATAACATATTATCCTAAATGGCTTAAAGACACAATCACCTGGTGGACCGCATAACTAATAAATGTACACTCTCAAAGAAATGGTGGGACGTGGAGTTCTTTTGAATTAAGAAAACCTTTAATCAGGGGTTTCCATGGTTTTTTGTGTTCTAGAAGCAGATCAAATGATGTTAAGGGGAAAGGTAGTGTATACGCATCGATCATCATCAGGTATTAGTTTGGACTGCCTAGCTTGTATGGGACCCAGTAAATGGGGATTACTAGGGGTGTGCAAAGCAGGCCCTATTTGATTTGGATTCAGCCCGAATCAGGGACAGCAATTCAATTTGTTGACTCGGATCATTGTCCCCGATTTGATTCGGCAAATCCGACTCTGAAGATTCAATGCTGATTTAGAGAATCAGTGATTCGGACACAGACACAGATTTAAATGTTTTTTATACATACCTCAAGGTACCAGCATGGCTTGTGAATGCTGCAATGCTGGGG